CTCTGTCATTTTCTATAGCCACATGTTTATTGTTCCCCTAGCATAACTTCCCATCTCTGTCATTTTCTATATCCACATGTTTATTGTTGCCCTGGCATAACTTCCCATCTCTGTCATTTTCTATAGCCACATGTTTATTGTTCCCCTGGCATAACTTCCCATCTCTGTCTTTTTCTATAGCCACATGTTTATTGTTGCCCTGGCATAACTTCCCATCTCTGTCATTTTCTATAGCCACATGTTTATTGTTCCCCTGGCATAACTTTCCATCTCTGTCATTTTCTATATCCACATGTTTATTGTTCCCCTGGCATAACTTCCCATCTCTGTCATTTTCTATATCCACATGTTTATTGTTCCCCTGGCATAACTTCCCATCTCTGTCATTTTCTATATCCACATGTTTATTGTTCCCCTAGCATAACTTCCCATCTCTGTCATTTTCTATATCCACATGTTTATTGTTGCCCTGGCATAACTTCCCATCTCTGTCATTTTCTATATCCACATGTTTATTGTTCCCCTAGCATAACTTCCCATCTCTGTCATTTTCTATATCCACATGTTTATTGTTGCCCTGGCATAACTTCCCATCTCTGTCATTTTCTATATCCACATGTTTATTGTTCCCCTAGCATAACTTCCCATCTCTGTCATTTTCTATATCCACATGTTTATTGTTGCCCTGGCATAACTTCCCATCTCTGTCATTTTCTATATCCACATGTTTATTGTTCCCCTAGCATAACTTCCCATCTCTGTCATTTTCTATATCCACATGTTTATTGTTGCCCTGGCATAACTTCCCATCTCTGTCATTTTCTATATCCACATGTTTATTGTTCCCCTGGCATAACTTCCCATCTCTGTCATTTTCTATATCCACATGTTTATTGTTGCCCTAGCATAACTTCCCATCTCTGTCATTTTCTATATCCACATGTTTATTGTTGCCCTAGCATAACTTCCCATCACTGTCATTTTCTATATCCACATGTTTATTGTTCCCCTAGCATAACTTCTCATCTCTGTCATTTTCTATATCCACATGTTTATTGTTCCCCTAGCATAACTTCCCATCTCTGTCATTTTCTATATCCACATGTTTATTGTTGCTATGGCATAACTTCCCATCTCTGTCATTTTCTATATCCACATGTTTATTGTTGCCATGGCATAACTTCCCATCTCTGTCATTTTCTATATCCACATGTTTATTGTTGCCATGACATAACTTCCCATCTCTGTCATTTTCTATATCCACATGTTTATTGTTGCCATGGCATAACTTCCCATCTCTGTCATTTTCTATAGCCACATGTTTATTGTTCCCCTGGCATAACTTCCCATCTCTGTCATTTTCTATATCCACATGTTTATTGTTGTCATGGCATAACTTCCCATATCTGTCATTTTCTATATCCACATGTTTATTGTTCCCCTAGCATAACTTCCCATCTCTGTCATTTTCTATAGCCACATGTATATTGTTCCCCTAGCATAACTTCCCATCTCTGTCATTTTCTATATCCACATGTTTATTAATCCCCTAGCATAACTTCCCATCTCTGTCATTTTCTATATCCACATGTTTATTGTTGCCCTGGTATAACTTCACATCTCTGTCGTTTTCTATATCCACATGTTTATTGTTGCCCTGGCATAACTTCACATCTCTGTCGTTTTCTATATCCACATGTTTATTGTTGCCCTGGCATAACTTCACATCTCTGTCGTTTTCTATATCCACATGTTTATTTTCAATCGCTCGTTTATGAGATGTAGCTTTATCATAGGCGTTTCTCACTTGTCCGAAAAAACAAAAATACGATTTTTTCTTTGTAAACACTCCGTTTATAATATAATTATTTCTATTTGTAAGTTGTTTAAATTAAAACATTAAAATTAAATGTTTAAAAAAATATATTTCAATGTGTAGTTAATCAGTCTAAAAATATTATAGAATCAAATGAATCTATTTAGAAGATATATTTTGTTAAAGAAAGAGACCATTGCTTTATGAATGTCTTATTGTCTTTTCCTTTTTTCGACAGTGACTACTCAAGGTAAGTTTTATGTTTGTAAGGAAGCACCAGATAAAGATTCAAATCTTTAGAAATTATATGAAATTATTCTTTCGTTCACAAGTTCTAATGCATTAAAAAAATATACAGAAATATCTTTTTTTAATATAATAATTTAAAATTAACGTAAGGAAATATTGACAACTTTTGCAAGGATCATCAAAAAAATCCTCACGAAAGAAGGGCAAGTCTAAGTCCCAAATACAGGTACTCTCCCATGTAAAACTTCCATATACCTTTAATATTTTATGAAGTCCAAAATTAAAGTTTAAAAAAATATATTTCAATGTGTAGTGAATCAGTCCAAAAATATCATAGAATCAAGTGAATCTATTTAGAAGTCATATTTTGTTAAATAAAAAGACCTTTGCTTTATGAATGTCTTATTGTCTTTTCCTTTTTTCGACAGTGACTACTCAAGGTAAGTTTTATGTTTGTAAGGAAGCACCAGATAAAGATTCAAATCTTTAGAAATTATTTGAAATTTGTTGACCGCTCACCAGTTCTAATGTAATAAAAAATGTACAGAAATATCTTTATTTTAATATCATAAATTAAAATTAACGTAAGGAAATATTGACAACTTTTGCAAGGATCATCAAAAAAATCCTCACGAAAGAAGGACAAGACTAAGTCCCAGATACAGGTACTGTCCCATGTAAAACTTCCATATACCTTTAATATTTTATGATTGTCTTATTGTCTTTTCCTTTTTTCGACAGTGACTACTCAAGGTAAGTTTTATGTTTGTAAGGAAGCACCAGATAAAGATTCAAATCTCTAGAAATTATATGAAATTTGTCTATCGCTCACCAGTTCTAATGTATTAAAAAAAATATACAATAATATCTTTTAATATCATAAATTAAAATTAACGTACGGAAATATTGACAACTTTTGCAAGGATCATCAAAAAATCCCCAAGAAAGAAGGGCAAGACTAAGTCCCAGATACAGGTTCTCTCCCATGTAAAACGTTCATATACCTTTAATATTGTATGAAGTCCAAACTACGATTTGCATCAGTCTGCATCAAATACTATTTTAACCCAAACCTGATTACAGCAAACTGGTAAAAAAAAAAAAAAAAAAACTCTCTAAAAAACTCCCTGGTAATACCTGTGACCACTAAGCATAAATTTGGATTAAAAAAAACAAGAACAGAGATAAGCCTACGTTACTATTGAGCTTGGAGATATCATCAATAAGATAAAAGGCGGTACACTTCCACACCCGGAAGACAATATAACCCTTTATATTAAATATTTCACAAGTAAATTTCATCGACCCCTGAACGATCTTTGCGAATTATATTTTGCAACTCAATTTTAATTCACTTCCTGATCTCCAATTGTGCCGAAATCTCTTAAAGACGCCGAAAATGTTGTATACAATTCTAGGTCAGCGTTCACCTCCAATTACCCTTAATAGACCTCCATTGTGCATTTAATGTTGATCCGTACTCTGACATTCAATTAAACGAAAAATCAGGACGCATGTACCCACAACCAAAAAAAAAAAGAAAAAGGGGGAAGAAAAAAAAAGTTTCATGATCGGTGCGTTATTAGTGACCTCGATTCACAGACAGGTTCAGAGGCGTAGCGAGGGTGTTTGGGGCCCGTTGACAAGATTCGCGCCCGAGGACAAGATTCATTTGAAAGCATCCCTTCTTTCTTTTTTTCAAACCTCAAACCCATTATTTTCATCAATAAAATAATATCAAAGCACAATTTGGCGCCCCTAACTTGCTGGCTCCGTTGGACACCTGACCCTATGCGCCCCTCGCTACGCCTCTGGACAGGTTACATATGGAGGTCAATCTTGCAACACAATTAGGACCCATTTCCTAAAGTAGAATGAAGCTTAGAGTTTGTACACTGGCTGTTGTGATCTGACTTATATTGTGAGTTTGAAAGGTATTTCCCGTATGAAATATCCTCTTGGCACTCTGCCAATTGATTGCTTCCCCAGCCAATGACAATCAGTCTAATTGTTGGGGCTAGAACAACCACCCAGAAAGTGGGTAGGGGGTGAATAAAAAATCATGATTTTGCTTGAGCTGTCGTACGTCGGAATCCAGTAATAACAAGGGAGATTACTGGGGTTATCCTACTGCAAGGGCAACCTCGGGAAAACAAGGGGGTGAGGGGGTATAATTTTATAAGGGCGAGTTTACAATTGAAGAATATTTCAATGTCCAGCCTCAAGCCATCAAAGCCCATTGTTTGATATTACATTTTATAAAGAATTCATAGACAAACTTCGTTTTTTTAAATCGGTGTTTATTTAAGAATAAAAATAAGTAAATATTATTTATTTTTTCCGCTCCTTTTAAAAAAAGTATGTTTGATGATGCTCAATGAAAGCTTGGGAATTTTATTTTTTGTGCCTATTGAAAGTTCCTAACACGATATTTGTTTTTGCTTTAAATTTCTATTAAACTATCTAATTTTAGAATTTAAATGTGATTTTAGTGTTTAATACTTTAAAACTATTCGTTTGAACCGGCTCTATGATACGATAGAACAATGCTATGGTACACATAATTAAAATTCTTTAAAGAAAGTGAACCCTGTGAATAAAAAACATCACTGGATTACAAGTCTAAAAGCATACACTGTGTACTATCAATTGTACTAAACAACTTTGGATTTCGCTTTTACTAGTTTTACTCACTGAAAATAAACGAAAGGATAAATATAAAATGTCACCTTTAACTTTTAGTTTTATGTGTATGGATGTATTGATGAAACATAAGATACTTTCCAGCTTTAGCTTCGCATATAAATGTTTACGTGTTATCTTATATATAAATAATACATTTTAATTAGGTTAAAATTCACTGATGAATATAATAATTTGTTGACTAATTAATTAAAACAACCAAACTTTTAAAAAAATATTCTAAAACAAAAAGGTTTGGCAGTCGAGGAATGTGTAACGGGTGATGTTTGCATGGGGACTACATTGTCCGGCTACTGTGCTATTCAGGGCAAATGCAGATGTCGGGGAGGACTATCAGCAAATTCTGATGGAAACACTTGTGAACGTAAGTTTAAAAAATACGTGTATAATTTTAAAGCATATTTTTCTTGTAGAAATCTTTTTTTCGTAGAATTGATGTAAATTTTATGGAACTGAGTTAGCTAAGTTTAATTTTGCATGAAACCGTTTTGTAATTTTCCTCGAAAACGCTCTTAAAATTTTCAAATTTTTAAAAATGTTTTAGGTTTCACACAGATATCTTTGAAATAAAATTTTAATTATGTTGGATGGCTAAACATTGAAAAAGGCTTGTAAAAATTTAAGAAGCCCTTTATACACGTTTAAACATGCACCCTTTCTGCCTGACAACTTCCTTTCACTCAGACCTTACTAATTTCTTTTCCATGCATGGATTCCCAGCTGCTCTATATTTTGTTTCCATATCATCAATCCATGTAAGCCTAGGTCAGCCTTTGGGACGTTTGTCTTTAGGGTTTGGTGGTGCTCTCCTATTCATGGGAGTAAATTGAATATCGAATATTTTTGATGTGGTCTCAAAATTTGATGGTACCACAAACGCAAGTGGAATACGAATCTATATGTTAAAAAATGAATTACTATTCAAATATTTACATAATATATTCCGAAACAATTGTAAAAATTATTATCAGAATATTAATTCTAATGAAACATTAAAGATGTTGCTTATCTTAACATGAGATTCCACCTTTCAAACTAGAAAGAAAAATGATTATGTATCACTCCATTTGTGAAAATGCATTTCAGGGGCAATACAAATATTACCAGGTAACATTGTGTAATATCTTTCAGCTGCAAGGTAAGTAAGGTTCAGTCGTAATGACTTTAATTTAAATAAAATAATGTAATCCACTTTTTCTTTTAGTAAAAGCCCCAACCATAACGGGGGTAACAGACAACCAAGAATTGGTCAAGCAACAAAGTTACATCCTAGTGTGCAAGCCATTTTTCGAAGGTCCTAGTTATACATTCAAATGGTTCAAGTAGGTTGTTTTGTTAAAAATGTATATGGAATAGTTTTTAATAAAATAGCTAGTTTAATTTAGAAGGCTTCGAATCAAATTATAGAGGATATTAAAGAATGAGACAGACTTGGAATTATTTTGCATGCACTTTTTAAACTTCGTTTGTTTTCATTGTTGTCTCTTAAAATTGTTATGATAAATCCCATTCTTTTAAAATAAAACATCCGATTACTAAGATAAGCCAAATATGTCACTATTATATGATTACAAAATCATATATAAATATACCTACGAAACAAAGAGACAAAGTAGCAAGAAATTGAATACAGGCGAATTAATATATTGCAATGGTATTTATTTTCAATTTAAGTTACATTCTAACAATATAATTACATTGAAACATTTATTTGACCAATACTAGATATGGAAAAAAATATTGCTAACAATGCTTAATTGATCAATATATGATTATTTTAACATTCGGGACTTATAAGGTAAATGTTATTCCAAAAAGTATATTCCATTTGAATTTTATAGACTACTAGACAATATACCCGTCGTTGTCCGGGATTGCATTCGTTTCTCGATGGGTTCTCATTTTCTGACGGTATCCCGGTATAAGGAGAGATCCCGACACTGTTTAGGTCGCGATCACGGTTTGATTCCCGAAACCAGTGGGTTACCAGTAGCAGAAGGTTCTCGATCCTGGTTTGGGTTAGGGAGAAGAGGTGGGATCCCGAAATCGTTTTGATCCCGGTCCCTGTGAGATCCTGATCCCTGCGGGATCCCGATCCCTGTGCCATCCTGATAAGTGTTGTGACGCGCTGTACGTTGTCTAGATGTTAGTCTCCTGCGTAAAAGCCACAGAACAAATTGTAAAGCCATAGAACCCCTTTCTTTCAAAACCCTACAGAGCTGATGTGCTGTCTGTTCCAAGTATAAAAACAAACGATGCATAAATTCAGGTGTCTTATTATTTCTTGGTTCCATATTCAGGTCAGTGAAACATGCATCAGAAATCATCTCTGGTGTTCAGAATCAAAAACGTGTCCAGAAATGGAGCACATACTATACAAAATATAGTTACACAACTCCCAGCGAAAATGTACTCATTCCTCTTCCAGCTATAGACACATGTCACTCTCTCTACCAAACTAAAATCACTCATGATATCTAAAGTATTTCTCTAGCGTAGAAATCAGCCATCATTGAAAGCCTTTAATGGAATTCATGATTAAATTAATGATCATTTATTGGGTAATTGAAGGTCATGTTTAGATGAGACAACTGAGGGGCGCGAAATGGGTGTGTTAGGGGTATAATATATTGCAGAAAAGTACCTCTTAAAACGTTTAATTATTTTAGAAACGTAAATCTCATTACATAGATAGTCCTTTTTAAATGATGGAATGGCGAAGCGTTCTCGCAAAAGCAGGTGGAAATTACGCAAAGACCCTGTCATTATTATCTTGATAAAATCGTGTCATATTTTCTAATATATGCGAATATGATTAAATTATGTTTCCATGTCATTTATTTAATAGTTAAAGTAAAAAATGTATATTTTTTAAAAATGTATACCTTAAAATTTCAGAGACTCTGATACCACACCCATTGCTACTAGCACTACTTATTCAATAACTAGTGCCAAGGAGACAGATGGTGGAACCTACAAATGCTCGGTTACACTTACCGCACTTGGAAATGACTCTCCAGTCGGCAGTAATGAAATTCATGTCAAGGTTCCAGGCAAGTAGATCAAATTAAAAGAACCTATGTATTTTTAAAACTTAGATATATATATGTTTTTCAACTATAATTTCGTTACAATATTATTTAAATCTAAGCATGCCTAATGTATAAACATGCTGTTGCATTTTCATGTCCCATTCCTGCTTTTGACAAATTAGCAATTCCGTTATATCCTTTAGATATTATTTTACTAGCATCATTTCCATGGAAAAAATGATGTGTTTTAGTTTGAGTAACTTCATCTTAAAATTTAAATAATTGCGTCATATATCAAATTCTAGTAAACTTTTTTTTTTCTTCAAGTTTCATGTTATGTTAAAATCTTATATTCCTTATCCTTTATAATATCATTGGCCATCAAATCACTCATCGTGCGTTGTTATCTTTTCAAACTTATAAGTAATGTATATGTTTACAAATCACGATACATTTTAATGTTATTTAATTGACAAGTGAACAAGAAGTAGGGTGCAGTCATTCATGTATACACCAAATTAGAGAGGTTATCCTCACTAATGTTGAGTTTCTAACAGTGTAAATATAATGATTACAGTACAACTCGCCATTCCATTCGTTAGATTTCAATATAAAATTGCTGACTGACCGATTGGCCTAAACTGAGCAAATCTAAAGGCATGGTCCAAAGTTCAATCTCCAAAAAGGCCCATTCAAGCAAAGTTATCATCAACAACCCTTGTGAACGGGACACGTTAACCCTGGATGGCATCTAAGCGAAGGAAACTCTGACTTCAAACCCGAAAATGGAGTCCCATTTTGGTACAAAGAAATATTCCAACAACTCCTTCGACGCCACTGGTGCCAAGCTGTATCATCCACACGATGTTCCCTTGGGTAATCTAGCGGCTTAGAGAGAGGCGATTTGCGTTTGGGAACCAGTTTATAATCCTAGAAGGATAATCCCAGGCCTTGTGGATTTCGTCTTTCAAAATCCATACCATCGTCACATTGTGACGAACAGTTGCCAGCAATATAAATGTAATTTTTAAAAAAATAGAATTTGGAAATATATATTTAATTAAGAACTATACATAAACCGTGTAAAACCTTGGAGGCACATCAATGATTTGTTTTCAGAACATTTTCTCAATTGCTGGCATTCTCAAATGTGGTGTAAAGTTAACCATAAGTAAGTCGAGGCATGATTTAAACTTGAGCAAAAAAGATATGGGGATCTGATGGGGATCTGATGGGGATCTGATGGGGATCTGATGGGGATCTGTCCGTTTAGGAAAAAGTAAACCGAATGATTAAATACCTGTTGTTCCAAATAAATGGCTGGGACTACTTAAATAAGTTGGCGTTGTTAAATTGAGAAACAAACACAAAACGAAGTGTATTTGCAGAGACATTTTCGGAGGGAGTTTCTAGTTCAAATGTCAAATGGGTTTTGTGCTCCGCGAAGGAACCGCAATGGTATTTGGGGTGGGGGTGGCAAGGGATCACTTCGATTCAAAGTGTGTGCATGTGCGATTATTTCATACATATACAAAGCCATACAAATCCCATGGGACATTTTCGACATGCATCAAGTTTTGAGATCCGTTAGTGTAGTGTAGTGGGATAGGCCCACTTCATTCTCAGAAATTGTTCACATACATAAAAGAAAATACACAAATTAAAAGGCTAAGAAAATGTCCGAAACACAAGTTCTTTCCCATTCGAAACTCCCCTGTACCTTTCATATTATCATGAAGTCCTAATAAGGATTTGTAAGGAATGCAATACTATTGTCAGACATCTGGCAGCATCGAAGAGATTAATACACTCTGTGTAAGTCACTGGGCGGGGCGGAAAAATTTAACTGCCTTGGTGGCTCTGTAGATTTTAATACAACCCCTGGCTTTTATTTAATACAATATTTAAATATATTTTCATAGAGGTTGATGTCTGGTGCAAATAATTTTCTTTTTAAATTGCTCAGTTTTAAGAATTGAATTATTATTTAATTTTTCAAAACTTATCTAAAAGTTTATAAAAAAATATGATTTTCAGCTCATAAATGATTTTTAAATTTTTCTTCAATTTAATGTTGCAGGAATTGGTCCTGGTAAAGAATGCACAGTAGCAACTGCTTCCACGGTTTGTACAGGTGCCGGCTACATAGCTGAATGTAACGCTACAACTTTACGCTGTAAATGTAATGATAATTACTATCTTAAGGATGACAAGTGTGAACGTAAGTATATATGAAATATTTCCTAACTATAGTAATTGTTAATTACATAGATACATGCTGCATCAAATGAAATGTTCACATTGTATCTTTTTTTAATTGGTTTATGTCTAGTAAAAAAAGTTCTGCGTTAGAAAATATTATCATCCGCGAAAAAAAAAAAGTATTTCTGAATTTTAGTAAGAATCGCTAGAAATCTGTTATTTTACTACACTTCAGTTTGAAATTTGCACACACAAAAATCAGTATTAAAAAATTATGTACACCTGTCATTAATAAAGAATTATTTCTGTTTGTAATTTGTTTCAATTGAATTTAAAAATAGATTTTACAATTAGTCCAATCATGTAATAAAATCAGGTTGATATTACTCTATATACAAAATATTATTTGGTTAAATAAACACATCTTTGCTTTATAATGATCTTATTTTATTTTCCTTTTCTTCTACAGCAAATCCTCCAGGTGATTCTTATGTTTTTATATTAGCACCTGATATAGATTCAAATCAGATGTTTATAAATTAAGTGAAGACATTTTTTAATATACATTAATTATCATTTATAAAAAAAAAATTAGAGAGATATCTATATTTAAATATCACAAATTAAAAGGGTTAGAATATGTGCCAAACACAAGTAGGCCTACTTTCTCATGCAAAACTCCCCTGTACATTTAATATTCTGATTAAATCCCAATAAGGATTTGTCAGAAATTCAATGCTCTTGGCACCGTCAAAGAGATTTATAGTTGGACACTTGACCACCCCGATGATAACAAAATCTTTTATAATCAATAGTTCACTAGTGACTTCCAAGGATCATTGAACGACATTTGCGAAGTATATTTTGCATCTCATTTTGACCAACTTCCTGATATATTGAACAGAGCAAAAACTATGTACACATTCCGACAAAGTTGTAAAACAAACGTACAATAAGTGATGATTAACAAATTGTTATTAAGGCGAAAAGTAAAAAATAAAGAAATAAATAATGGAATAATTTTAAAATCAATTTCATTTAAAGGGAATCTAAATGACAGATTTATTAATTTTGTTTTTGAAAGAAACGCCAGCATTTCTGTACAGTTAATGATGTGTAAAAAAATGCATTAGTTCCAAATATTGAAAGAAATGTAACAAGACATAGAAGTAAAATTACAAAAAAATTTTCATATATTAATAATAAACTAATGCAATTTTTTAAAAAATGGTGATTGCAATATTGTTCTTTAATGTTTTAGAGCGTAACTTTTAAGAGCATTACGAAACTTAATTTTAGAATCAAATGAAGGGGAATTATATTTAGAACACGGTTATGCGTAAAACTTAAAAAGTAGTTCAGCGATAGTCTTTCTCTAATGCAGAGTATTGAATACGTTTAGTATTAAGGTACCTTCTCATTTTAATTGTTTTATAGCGGTGGTATATTCCAACTTTTTTAATCCTATTTTTAAGATCAAATTAAATTAAAACCTACTACACTTACCAACTTCTTACGACACTATATTCCTTCATAAACAGTTGGTCATCAGTGCCCCCCCCCCTTTACTATAGACTTCTATATTTTCTATAAGAAAAGTGTTCACATGGGTGGTCCCTCTTTCTTACACTCTGAGTAAGTCACTGGGCGGGACGGAAATATTTAACTGCCTTGGTAGCTTTGTAGGTTTTAATACAACCCTGTCTTTTCTTTAATTCAATATTTAAATATATTTTTATACGGCTTGATTTCTGGTGCACCTAATTTTCATTTTAAATTTCTCATTTTTAAGAATTGAATTATTATTTATTTTTGCAAAACTTATCTGAAAGTAAATCAAAAAATGATTTTCAGCTTATAAATGATTTTTTAAATTTTTCTTCAATTTAATGCAGCTGGAACTGGTCCTGGTAAAGAATGCACAGTATCAACTGCTTCCATGGTTTGTACAGGTACCGGCTACATAACTGAATGTAACGATACAACTTTACGCTGTAAATGTAGTGATAATTACTCTCTTAAAGATGACAAGTGTGAACGTAAGTTAATATCAAATATTTCCTAATTATAGTAATTGTTAATTACATAGATACATGCTGAATCAAATAAAATGTTCACATAGTATATTTTCTTTTATTGGGTTATGTCTAGTACAAAAAGTTCTGCGTTAGGAAATATGATCATCCGCGAAAAATAATATTATTTCTTAATTTTAGTAAGAATCGCTAGAAATTTTTATTATTTTACTATACTTCAGCTTTCAATTTGCAAAAAAAAAAAAACAGAATCTAAAAAATTGTACATGCATCATTAATAATATAAATATTTATGTTTGCAATTTGTTTTAATTGAATTTAAAAATATATATTACAATCAGTCCTATCATGTAATAATATCAGGTTTATAATAATCTATGTAAATAATATTATTTGGTTAAATAAATACATATTTGCCTTATAATGATCTTATTTTATTTTCCTTTTCTTCTACAGCAAATACTCCAGGTGATACTTATGTTTTTATATTAGCACCTGATAAAGATTCAAATCACACGTTTATAAATTAAGTGAAGACATTTTTACAATCAATTAGTTATCATTTATAACAATAAATTAGCGAGATATCTATATTTAAATATCACAAAATAAAAGGGTTAGAATTGTGCAAAACACACGTACTTTCCATGCGAAACGACTCTGTACATTTAATATTCTGATGAAGTCCGAATAAGGAATTGTCAGAAATTTAATGCTCATGGCAGCGTCAAAGAGATTAATATTTGGACACTAGACGACCCCGATGATAACACAATCTTTTATAATCAATAGTTCCCTAGTGACTTCCAAGGATTATTGAACGACATTTGCGAAGTATATTTTGCATCCTATTTTGACCAACTTCCTAATATATTGAACAGAACAAAAACTATGTACACTTACCGACAAAGTTGTAATACAAACGTACAATAAGTGATGATTAACAAATTGTAATAAAGACGAAAAGTACAAGAAAGAAGTAATTAATGGAATAATTTTAAAAGAAACTTTAATTAAAATGAATCAAATATGCAGATTTACTTTTTGTAAGACACGCCAGCATTTCTGTACGATTAATCATGCGTATAAAAAATGCGTTAGTCCCAAATATTGAAAGAAATAAAAAAGATAAAGAAATACAAAGACACAAAAATATTCATACATGAATCAAATACAAATGCAATTTTAAAAAAATTGGTGTTTGCAATATTGTTCTATAATTTTTTAGAGCATAACTTTTAAGAGCATTACGATTCTTAAGTTTAGCTTCTAAAAGAGGGGCAATATATTTGGAACACGGTTACGCTTAGAACTTAAAAAGTAGTCTTTCCTTAATGCAGAGTATTGTATCGTTTAGTATTTGGTTATGTTGTCATTTTAACTGTTTTATGGCGGTGCTATATTCCAACTTTTTTTTGATCCACATTCTAAGTTAAAACTAAACTGAAACCTGGTACACTTACCCACTTCTTACGACACTATAATCCTTCATAAACAGTTGGTCATCAGTGACCCCCACTTACCCTGGATAGACCTCTACCTTTCACTTTATTTTGAACCACATTCTGATATCAAATTCAGCGGAAATTATTAATACGTAAACCCACCAGCTCATGCTAAAAATTAATTTTTATGATCATTACGTTATCAGTGACCTTTATACACCCTTGACTTACCTCTTGCGGACATCTCAGGAAAAAAAGTGATAGTGAATTTAGATTTTCAATACCCCGATTTCTATAGATGGTTACTCATTTCCCATAGCAATCAATTATGTGAAACAAATGTTTGACAAAAGTAAGGTCAATAATGACCTTTCATGTCTTTGTTTTTCACGGGCGTCCCATCGCATTTATACATAAGTATCCACCTACTTTCTTCATCTTTCAATAAAAATATAGTGAAATAAATTTAAAATATCAGCAATTTAAAAAAAAAATATATTTCTCACAATTTTATAAAATTAGAAAAGCCATCCCCCCTAAAACATTAAATTAGTTACAGTGGCCTGACTGTAAAGGGCCAAAGGCGCCAATAATCTCATTTATTAACTGACAAGTGGACAGTGAAGCAATACAACATAATTGTATAATTGGGCTACCATGTGGGCTTTTCAAATTATGTTATTTTAGCAACGGTTTAATCAAAAGTCAAATGAAGCATGTGTCTTCAAAGATTCATGCTTTAAGAGTCGAGCGGACAGGGATAAAAAGAAATATGTGTTGTGGGATAGTTGATATGGGTTTAGTTGATATTAATTTTACTTTTTTGACGATTTAATCTATAGTATCAAAAGGCTCTTTGCGACACCTCTACATAAATACTTAAACATTTTAAGGAGAACACAAACGTTTTCACGATCGTTAAACATTGCCCTGAGCGCTTTTATTTTGATGACATTAGAGATGAACAGCATGAAATATAAACATTGTCAACCAATTTGTGAAAGGAACTAAGTGACCAGACATAGGAACCAAAAATACTTTTTAAGATTTGTCCGTAGTTTTATTAGTAAACAAAATGTTGATTAGAACTTAAAGTGACTTACACTGAAATTTCACTTCGGTGAGGGCGATACAGTGGCGTGTATTGATTAAGGCTAACTGGTGCGAAATAAGGAAAGTGTTAACATGGGTGGTCTCCCTTTATCTAAATTCCTTTGGTGCCTCTGTAGGTTTTAATACAATCCTGGTTATTATTTAATATAATATTAAAATATATTTTCTTAGAGGTTGATGTCTGGTGCAATTAAGTTTCTTTTTAATTGCTTAGTTTTAATAAATAAATTCTTATGGATTTTTCAAAACTTATCTAAAATTCTTTTCAGCTCATAAATGATTTTTAAAATTTTTCTTCAATTTAATTCTTCAGGAACTGGTCCTGGTAAAGCATGCACAATATCAACTGCTTCCACGGTTTGTACAGGTACCGGCTACATAACTGAATGTAACGCAACAACTTTACGCTGTAAATGTAATGATAATTACTCTCTTAAGGATGACAAGTGTGAACGTAAGTACATTTATAAAATTTCCTAATCATATTAATAGTGCCTTATAAAATATTTATATCGTCTTCCTTCCCTTTTTTTGGGAGTCTAACATTATGAGTTTGGTGTTAGAGAAAAATAATTAACCGCAATCTAGAATCACTAGAAATTGTTGAATTTACTTATTACACTTTAGTTCATAGTTTTCCGGTAAATCATAAATATGAGCTTGTCTTTGCACAGGAGGCACAATAATATGAATATTTCTGTTTTTAATTTGTTTCATTTGAAATTAAAATGCTATTTTTATTACAATTTAGTAATCAATCTTTCCAACCAAGTTATTGGTCAAGTTTACAATAATCTATTTATAAGTCATATTTTGTTAAATTAAAGAAATCTTTGCTTTATAAATATCTTTTTAATTGTCTTTTTCTTCCACAGCAAATACTCCAGGTGAGTCTTATGTTTCTATATTAACCACAGAGAAAGATTCAAATCAGATGTGTACAAAATAAGTAAAGACATATTATTTCTACCATAAATAATTTAAAATGTTAAAAATTTAAAACGAGTGATCTCCATATTTGAAAACAACATATGAAAAATTAACGACAGGACGATTGACCACTTTTATACAAGGATCATAAGGATATTCACAACACCGAAGGGCAAGAAAATTTTTCAGACACAGGTACTTTCCCATGCGAAACTTCCTTGTACATTTCATATTCTGATGAAGTCCATATTAGGATTTGCGGGACATTCAGTGCGCATGTCAGGCATCTGACTGCGTCAAAGATATTAAAAGTTGTGCACTTGACCACTTCGATTACAACAAAATCTGTTATAATCAACAGTGCTGTTTAGACATCCATTGATCCAATATTTTTCATTGAAAGTTTGATCCACTTCCTGATATTCAATAGATGGTAAAATTTGTCAAATTTCCGACAAGCTGTAATACAAACTGGCAATAAGAGATGATAAACAAATGGTAATAAATTTTTTTTTTTTTCAATTTAATGATTTAGGATCTGGTCCTGGTAAAGCATGCATAGTATCAACTGCTTCCACGGTTTGTACAGGTACCGGCTACATAGCTGAATGTAATGCAACAACTTTACGTTGTCAATGTAGTAATAATTACTCGCCTAAGGATGACAAGTGTGAACGTAAGTTTATATGCAATATTTCCTAATTGCATGTTGCATGAAATTAATTGTATGCATCGTGTGCTTTCACTTTAATTTGGTGCTTAACAAAAACGTTCAGTGTTAGAAAAAAATAAGACGATCCGCAACAAACGTTTATTTTTAAATTTTTGTTAGAGTCACTAGAAATTATTTAGTTTTACAAAACCTTTTTTTTAAGTTTTAGGTAAATCATAAAATATGTGGGGGTTTTTCCACACGTGACATTAATAAAATAAATAATTCTGGTCGTAATTTTTAAAAATTTTAATTTAAAAGGTATTTTTTATTACAATTAAATAATCACTCTCCAACGATGTTATAGAATCAAGTGCAGAATAATCTATTTAATAAATAATATTTTGTTAAATAAAAACGTCTTTGCTCTATAAAGATCTTATTTTATTTTCGTTTTCTTACACAGCAAATACTCCAGGTGAGTCTTATGTTTCTAGTTTAGTCCTTGATAAAGATTCAAATCAGATGTTCAGAAATTAAATGAAGACATATTTATACCACACATAAGTTATAATTTTAACAGATAAAATAGACAGGTATCTATATTTAAATATCACACATTAAAAATTAAGGAAGAGACGATAGAGCACTTTTATACAATGATTTTAAAAAATGCACAACACAGAAGTGAGAGAAAATGTCCGAGACACAAATAATTTCTAATGCAAAACTTCAATGTACCTTTCATATTCGAATGAAATCCAAAATAAGGATTAGCGGGACATTCAATGTGCACATAAGCCAGCAGGCTGCGTCAAAGAGATTAAAAATTGTGCATTTGACCACCCCGATGACAACATAATATTTTATATTAATTATTTCACCAGTAACTTTTATTAATCCTTTATCAACCTTTGCGAAGTATATTTTGCATTGAAATTTTGACTTCCTGATATTTAATAGACGGGAAACTTTGTCAACTCACCGACAAAGTTGTAATACAACCTGGCAATACGAGATGATTAACAAGTGGTAGTAAAACCGAAAAGTGCAAAATAAAGTAATAAATAATTAAATAATTTTCTAAGCAATTTTTATTGAAATTAAATAAAATTGCTGATTTATTTTTTGTAAGATATGCCAGGATTTTTGCACAATTAATGATACAAAAATAAAAATAATAAAAATAAAGCTTTGGTGCGAAACAAGCAAAGACGTTTAACAAGATTGACAAACTTTTTTTAATCTGCATTAGCAATTTAAGCAATATGGTGATTGCAATTTTTTACCCTTAATGTTTTATGGCGTAACCTTTAAGTATATTAAGATTCTAACTTTTAGCATCTAAAACACTGAGATCATGTTTGGGACACTGTTCTGCGTACACAATTAAAAAATAAATCATTTCGTTTTGCCCTACATCTATTCTGATGGCCAATTCAGCCAAAGATGTGTACAACTGCACTCAATCAATCATGCAAAAAAGAAATCTGTTAGATTATAACGTTATCATTTAGCTCCATTTCACATTGAATCAACTGTGCAGATATCTCTGTAACAGAAAGTAATAGTGAAATTTGCTTTTCACTGCAGCATTTTCTCCATATAGTTACTAGTTTCTGATAACACTCAACGATGTGAAACATTATTTGGACAAAATTAAGGTCATTAATGACCTGTCAAATGTTTGATTTTCAATCTATTTTAAAAAAAACTGGGTAAATATGCACATATTTTGTCGCCCTGGTGCTTCCGTAGCTTTACACTGCGTTAGCTTAGATTTAATATAATATTAAATAAGATTTTCTTATTCATTAATGTCTGGTGCAACAAATTATTTTTAAATGGTATAGTTTTAAGAACTAAACTCTTTTGATTTATAAAAAGATGTCTTTAATCTCCAAAAGAAATTTATTAGCTCATTATTGTTTTCTTTAATCTTCTTTTTTCAATTTATGCAGCAGGTTCTGGGACTGGTAAAGCATGCACTGTAGCAACTGCGCCCACGGTTTGTACAGGTACCGGCTATATAGCTGAATGTAACGCAACAACTTTACGCTGTAAATGTAGTGATCATTACACTCCTAAGAATGACAAGTGTGAAGGTAAGTTCATATGTAAGATATCCTAATTATAGTAATTGTGCCTTACATATTGCATGAAATGAAATATTTGCATCGTGTCTCTTCAATTTGTATGATAACAGTGGAATATTGCATCCCTATTTTTACCCACTTTCTTAGGTGAAATTAAACTGAAAATCTTTACACTTACCCACTTCTGCCGTCAATATACACATTTATGATCTCTATGTTATCAGTAAAGCCATCGTTCACTTGACAAGCCATCATGTTTTGAACATACGTTTCCACATACGTTTCCTGATATTATATTACATCTTCCAAGTATAAAAGTACAAAATAAAATTTAAAAAATAGCTATTAAAAAATGTTTTTATTTTTAAATATTTAAAAAGATAAAATAATGTCCCCCAATACATTCGATTTATTACAGTGAAATAAATGTAAAAAATGTTAGGCGCCAAAGAGTTAAAATTTCAAACTAACAAACAGACAAGGCAACGTAGTAACTTTCATAGGGCATCATAGACATTCATGATCGATCATGTTGTCCTTTATAATAATTTCGGCACCAGATATCTCTAGAGGCAACTGAGGCATATACCTACAATGCAGATCCCAGTGACAAGGACAAAACAATTTTTGGGTAGGGTAGTGGATATGGATTTATTGGATATTTAACGTTAATGATTAATGACTCAGTGGTAATACTATGGCGCTTCTCTAGCATCTTCATAAAAAAAATTAAAAATGCGTGGAAAAAAGACAAAGAAAGGGCGTCACAAGATTTAAGCATTGTGCTAGTCAGATTTCTTAAGATGACATGAGAGATAGATAGAAGAAAAGGGAAAAAAAATCAATTAATTGTAACAGTGATTAGGTAACCAAATGAAACAAAATGCCTTTTTCGGTTCTTTTTCTTTGTGATATGGAAAAAATGAATTATACTAACAAGGCACTTGAGGTGGGTGAAATGGCGTGAATTGATTAAAGGCAGCCCAAGGTGAAATGAGCAGAAGCTGTAATGTAAAAACAGTAGTGTTAAAAGACGAAAAATCCCGTTTCATAGGTCACTGGATTGGGGGGGGGGGCATTGTGACTGCCATGGTGTTTCCGTAGGTATTATTACTGCTTTGGCTTTACCTTAATATCATATTTAAATAGATATCCTTATAGATTTCTGTCTGGTACAACAAAGTATGTATTTGAATTGTTCAGTTTTAAGAAATAAGCCCTTAAAGATTTTTAAAATTTAATGTGTTTTAAAAATAAAAAATTAAATTCATAAGTGTATTTTTTTTAAAGTCTTAAGTTTTTTTCTTCTAAGTAGCTGTAGCAACAGCGCCTGGTAAAGAATGCACAGTAGCAACTGCTTCCACGGTTTGTACAGCTACCGGCTACATAGCTGAATGTGACGCAACAACTTTACGCTGTAAATGTAGTGATAATTACTCTCTTAAGAATGACAAGTGTGAACGTAAGTTCATATCAAATATTTCCTAATAATAGTAATTGTGAATTACTTACATACATGTTGCATCAAATAAAATATTTGCAATGTGTCTTATCTTTTATTGAGTCATGTCTAACATAAAAAATTTGTGTTAGAAAATATGATTATCCGCGAAGAAAAAAGAACATTTCTTAATTTTACTAAGAATCGCTAGAAATTGTTTATGTTACTACAATTCAGTTTTCAATTTGCAAAGAAATCAAACTTATAAGTTTTTATTTGTACACGCGACATTAATAATATAAATATTTATGTTTGTAATTAGTGTTAATTGAATTTTTAAAAAAATATATTCGTTGATTACAATCAGTCCAAACATGTAATAGAATTAGGTTTATAATAATTTATATAAAAGTATTGTTTGGTTAAATAAAGAAATCTTTGCCCTTATAACGATCTTATTTTATTTTCCTTCTCTTCCACAGCAAATACGCCAGGTGATTCTTATGTTGTTTTTTTATATTAGCACCTGATAAAGATTCAAATAAGATGTTTATGAATTAAGTGAAAACATATTTTACCATAAAAGAGTTATCATTTATAAAAATAAATTAGAGAGATATCTATATTTAAATATCACAAATTAAAAGGTTAGAAAATGTGCCAAACACAAGTACTTTCCCTTGCAAAACTCCCATGTACATTAAATACTCTGATAAAGTCCGAATAAGGATTTCTCAGAAATGCAATGCTCATGTCAGACATCTGGCTGCATCAAAGAGATTAATAGTTGGACACTTGACCACCCGGATGAAAACACAATCTTTTATAATCAATAGATCCCTAGTGACTTCGTAGGATCATTGAATGACATTTGCGAAGTATATTTTGACCAACTTCCTGATATTCAAATGAGAGGAAACTATGTAGACTTTCCGACAAAGGTTTAATACAAATGGAAAATAAGTCATGGTTAACAAATTGTAATCAAAACAAAAAGTGAAAAATATTGAAATAAATAATGGAATAATTTTTAAATCAATTTTAATTAAAATGAATCAAAATTGCAGATTTATTTTTTGTAAGACAATCCAGCATTTCTTTACAATTAATCATGTGTAAATAGAATGCGTTGGTGCCAAATTTTGAAAGAAATGTAACAAGATATAGAAATACAAATACAAAAAAATATTTATATATCAATAAAACGCAAAGGAAATTTTTTAAAATTTGGTGATTGCAATAATCTTCTTTAATGATTTAGATAGTAACTTTTACAAGCATTACGATTCAAAGTTTTAGCTTCTAAAACAAGGGCATTATATTTGGAACACTGTTATGCGTAAAACTTCAAAAGTAGTTCAGTGATAGTCTTTCCTTAAAGCAGAGTATTGTATCGTTTAGTATTAGGTTACCTTGTCATTTTATTTGTTTTATGGCAGTGGAATGATGCATCTTTGTTTTGATCCACTATGTAAGGTCAAATTAAATTGAAACCTTGTACACTTACCCACGTCTGACGACACAATACCCCTTTATAAACAGTTGGTCATCAATGACCTCCACTTACCCTTGATTGACCTATATATTTCATGTCATTTCGACTAACATTTTGATGTCAAATTCAGCGGGAAATGTGCACACGTAAACCCACCCTTTATTGGAGGGTACCTGGGAAATAAAATACTCCGGGGGGGGGGGACCAAAATCAGTACCTACTGTCTTGTAGAAAGTGGAGAGATCCACAAAGGCTAGGGACCCGACCCAATACAAAGTAAGCTACCCTTAGAGCTGCAACGGGCATCCCATCAGACGGTTGTGCGCAGGGATAACGACCCTGTCACTTAAAAAAGCTAATGTTTCGAAAGTGAAACGAAATTCAGAAAAAAGGGAAATGTGCACACGTAAACCCACCCTTTATTGGAGGGTACCTGGGAAATAAAATACTCCGGGGGGGGGGGGACCAAAATCAGTACCTACTGTCTTGTAGAAAGTGGAGAGATCCACAAAGGCTAGGGACCCGACCCAATACAAAGTCAGCTACCCTTAGAGCTGCAACGGGCATCCCATCAGACGGTTGTGCGCAGGGATAACGACCCTGTCACTTAAAAAAGCTAATGTTTCGAAAGTGAAACGACATTCAGAAAAACGCACTGATATTTATGGATTTCGACCGATGCCTGACCACAAATATGACATATGGATAGCGACTTAGCTGTACTTAGTTTATACGGAGCAGGTTCCTTAGCCCGCCTCAGTGATGAATTGTTTAGATACAGAATCGGGATTGCGGCACTGCAGGAGATTAGCTGGAAAGACTCAGATATCCTAAATACAAAGGAATATATAATATTCTACAGTGGAAACAACAAAAATACCTTAGGAACAGGGTTTGCAGTCAAAAGAGAGACAGTAGATGCAGTAATTGAGTTTAAACCAGTGAGTGAAAGATTATGCTCCATAAGAATTAGAGGGAAACTGTTTAACATCACGTTAATCTGCGCACATGCTCGAACGGAAGATACAGATGGAAGCATGAAGGAAACACTTGAAAAAGTATTTAACGAGGCTCTACGCCATGATATCAAAATAGCCCTTGGTGATTTCAATGCGAACATTTAGAAAGAACTAGTTTACAGACCAACAATCGGAAAGGACAGGTATGCATGATAAGAGCAATGACAAGAGAACACGTCTTATAGACTTTGCTTCTGGAAAGGAATGACGATCAGTAGCACAATATTCCAACATAAACAAATACATAAAACGACATGGACATCTCCAGATGGATTTACCCGTAATCAAATAGACCACGTACTCATCGACCGGAGGCATGGCTCGGACATAACAGATTTGAAAAGTTGTAGAGGAGCGGACATAGACTATATGCTTGTTAGAATCAAGTTTATGCAAAGAATTTGTAACATCCACAGTAAACAAAATAAAAGAGAAAAACAGTACAATAGTCAGAAACTGAGTAGGGACCCAAAAATTACTGAGGAATATCAACAGAAGATTGAAACTCTACTAGAATTATCCAAAAGAGAATCAGCCAGCAACGTTGATATAAACCATTAATGGGAAAAGATGAAACAAATAGACACAAGTGTAACACAGGAAACGATTGGATTTAAACCAGCAGTGAAAAGAACAGGATGGTATGACGCAGAATGCAAAGAACTTAGAGAACAAAGAAACAAAATTCGGATAATGAAGCTGCAAAGGGAAACAAGAAGAAAACGGCAATTATATAATGAAGCAAGAAGGGCGGCCAGCAAAATTTGCAGAAAGAAAAAAATGTGTTGGGAAAATTAAAAAATACTAGATATAGAAGAGTTGGCAGAAGAAAGAGATGTGAGGGGAATGTACCTGAAGATAAAGCAGGAAAAAAATGGCTTTCAAGCAAGATCTCACATGTGTGAAAGCACGGATGAAGACTTGATCACAGAGAGCAGTAGAGTACTAGAGAGATGGCCACAAAACTTGAAGGCCTACTGAATGGCTCAGGTGGAGGAACCAATGAGTATTACGCTCCGCCGCAAGGACGACCGGAACCACTGGTCAACCAACCAACATTAAATGAAATAAAAGATGTAATCTACGCCATGAAAAATAACAAAGCCCCAGGAATAGACCTTATCTCTGCTGAACTCATAAAGCTAGGTGGTAACCAACTGCATAGGCAAATACACGAACTTATAACCAGAATCTGGCAGGAGGAAGAAATGCCAACTGAATGGGAAAATACACTTATAATCCCAATCCACAAAAAGAGATCTAAGTTGATCTGCTCAAAGTATAGAGGTATCTCCCTTCTTAATGTAATGTACAAATTCCTCACAAAACTTATAGCGAGAAAACTGTAAAAGTATAGTGAACAGATCCTAGGGGACTGTCAATGTGGGATCCGGCAGAATAGGTCAACCACAGATCACATTTTTACTATAAGATGTCTCCTGGAGAAATGCTACATATATAACATCGACATACACCAATTATATGTGGATTACAAAACAGCATACGATAGCGTAAATAGGAATTACTTATACGATGCTCTAAAAGAACTTGGCGTCCCTAACAAGCTTACTCAGCTCATACATATGACAATCGCCAACTCAAAAAGTAGAATCAAAGTACAGGGAGAATACTCCAAAGAGTTCCTAGTTAATTGGGCCTCAGACAAGGAGACTCACTCTCCTGTATCCTGTTTAACATCACGCTAGAAAAAGTTATTAGAAGCATGCACATGAGCACCAGTGGAACCATAACAAACAATTTCCAGAGAGATGCTACAGAGCAACGACCATCAAGAACCTTATATATCCAACCATTGCAGTACCTGGCATATGCAGATGATATAGCGCTACTGGTTAGAAACCGTAATGACATAATTAAAGCATTCAGGGAACTTGAAAATGTCTCATTCAAAGCTGGTCTCGTTATAAATGAACCGAAGACAAAATATATGATAATGTCAAGAAACTTCCATGCTGATAATAACATCAATATTTAAAAAAACACAAATTGGAGAGAGTGGCTATAATCAAATATCTAGGACAGCTATAAATGAGAACAGTGAGATAATGTCGGAGGTGAAAGAAAGGATAACAGCAGGCAACCGTTCCTATTTCAGCCTACAAAAGCTACTGGGAAACAAACACCTCTCAAGGGGAACAAAGAAGACAATATACACCACCATTATAAGACCTTTAGTAACATAAGCTAGTGAGACCTGGACCCTCACCAGAAAAGCAAAGAACCTGCTCAACACATGGGAGAGGAAAATACTCCGCAAAATATACGAACCAGTGATACAAAATGATATCTGGAGAATACGTACAAATCAAGAGCTCTACCATTTGTACAAAGAACCACCCACAGCCACAATGATAAAAAAGGCAGACTACACTTGCAGGTCATGTTGAAAGGATGCTGGAATGCAGAGCAGCAGTTATATAGAGGCAGAAGCCTCGGGGCAGACGACTCACCGGTCGCCCAAGGATGAGGTGGATTGAAGATGTGAAGACAGATTTACACCAGTTGGGGTTTC